GGTCTCAACTACATCCTCTCTCACCCGGACGTCTTTCCCAAACCAGACGTTGCCAGACGTGCTCTGGCCGATATGCTTGGGAACGGCCTCTTGACCTCGGAGGGAGAGGACCACAGGCGACAAAGACGTGCCCTCAACCCTTCTTTCAGTGTCGGCGCCATCAAGAACATGGTGCCTACATTTTACGACAAGGCATACGAACTGCAAGCCAAGCTGCTTGCTCTTGTGGAAAATGACGACCCTTCCGAAAAGGCGTCGCCAACTCCGGCAAAAGAGGAAGATTTTGTACCTGGCGGCAAGAAGATCGACATGATGAAGTACCTCGGCAAGACTACGCTAGATGTTATCGGCGTGACTGGATTTGGCTACGACTTCAAAACCTTGTCCGAGCCAAACAATGCTCTGTCCGATGCGTATGCCCAGATGTTTAGCGCCGGCATGACCGTAAACTTCAAGGACTTTGTTCTCAACAGGATTCCGCTTATCAGGCAATTCGTAAGTTGCGACCTTTCATTTGTAACCATGCTGATCCGAGAAGCCTACCGAAAAGTCGAGAACTATTGCCAGCAGCAGGAAGATTACGCGCGATATCGGAGCTGTAAGTGGCGCCTGATCAAATTGAAGTATCGCAACCTAACCATTTTGCAGAAACTCGTCAAGGACAAGAAAGAGGCCGTTATGGCGTCTTTCGGCGACGATTTGGAAAAGGGACAAGATATTGGAAAGGATCTCTTGTCCATTCTCATTCAAGCCAACATGGCTGCGGACCTCAAGCCGGAACAGAGGCTCACAGACGAAGAAGTGTTGAATCAAATCACGACTTTTGTAAGTATTGAATCCAGCACGACATGTGACTCGAGTTGATCTCGTTTATAGATGCTCGCTGGTAACGAGACCTCTTCCACAGGCTTGAGCTGGACGCTTTACAATCTTTCTCTCAACATGGATGTTCAAGCAAAGCTCCGCGAAGAGGTCATGTCTATACCTGACGAGAGACCTGACGTGTAAGTCTCGTTACCTTCTGTGCTGTATCTCCTCTGACTGCTCTACAGGGAAACACTCAACTCTCTGACGTATATGGACGCTGTGCTCCGGGAAGCGCTCCGTCTCTGCCCTCCAGCACCAGGTACCATCCGGCAAGCCAAGGAGGATGTTGTGATCCCCTTAGGTGTACCCCTGAAAGGCAGAGACGGAACGATGATGGAGAGCGTAGGCATCAATAAGGGGACAATAGTATTCATCCGTATGTCTTTTTTGCTGCTTGAAAGCCCCGATGCTGACTCTTCCTGCCAGCGATCACCAACGTCAACTGCTCTGAAGCTATCTGGGGACCGAATGCAAGCAAGTTTGACCCTTCCCGATTCTTGTCCTCTTCGACAGAAGTAAAGCCCACACACGTCCCGGGTGTGTGGGGCAACCTCTTGACTTTCTTGGGGGGTACGCGAAACTGTATCGGCTACAAATTCGCCTTGGCGGAGATGAAGGTTATACTGTTTGTGTTGATGAAGAACTTTGAGTTCCAAGAGCTCAAGAGTAAGCCGGAAGTTGAGAAGAAATCTGCGTGAGTTGAAAGAAGTGTCGTATCTCGTTCAAGAGCTGACGAGTCCTCAGTGTCGTTATGCGTTGTAGGATCAAGGGGGAAGAAGACGCAGGATTGCAGATGCCCCTGATGGTGGTTCCTTTGGAAGCAGTCTAGGCTCAACGCAAGTGCTGAACGGTGGCGTGAGCAGTTCGGAGAGGGAAGATCTTGCTGGTGTTTGTTGAGAAGAGTTTCATCTGTGTTTGATCTGAGGGGATATATCTCGTGCTGCTGTAGTTTATAGATCTTGCCATACTGTACAATCTTACACTGCTTATCTTTATGTAATATGCTGTAGATGTTGGAACGTAATTGGCATCTACAACACTCCACGTCTCAATCCACATCCTTTGCTAGTGATCATCGGCCAATGCTACGGCATTGACAACAGTGAGAACAAGGATGTTAATGATGTACTGCCGATGGAGACTGACTGAGAAGCAATGGATCTCAAGGGTTTACGGCATCGAGGACTACGGGGGCAAAAGTTGCAGGGTCCAGGCGCGTCGCGTCGCGTCGAGCAGATTGTCGAGTGGTCGTCTTCTGTGGCCACATGCATGCAAGCCAGACTATGCGATCTTCATAATCACCATATCGTCACGAGTGCATACACAGGGGACAGAAAGAGAGACAGGCATGGCCGAGCGTTATATGGACATGCAAGCTGTGTCAACAAGGGGCCCAGAAGCTGCGGTGGCTGGAAAGCTAAGACACTTTGTATTTCCCGTTTTCTACGGTGCAAGCAGAGCGGGACGTGGCATAGCATAGGGGTGAAGCGATGCATGTGAATATTCGAGCACGATAAGGGGGTACCCCGAGATACAGGACCCAGCCGTCGCCACTGGTTCGCTTGTGGCCAGCAGAGATGCCGGAACGGAGGGAGTAAGGCAAAGGAGCGCGTCTCAGAGCATCGCCGTTCGTTTCATCGCATCTCTCCCTATATCCCACAACGCCTCTCTCGCCCTCCAGCTCTGTCACGACGCTATTTCGAGGACCCACAGAGCACCACCAGCGGGAACGAGGTGCGTGCTTTCGTCGTCCTGGACACTCTGGTGCTTCGCAACCAAGTCGCTCACACCCTTCGTCGCCAGCGTGCCATCTTGACATTCCGCATCTTCACATCAAATCGCGTCAATACTAGTCAACTACCATCCTCATCAGCATGTCAGACGCCAACAAACCCTCGTCCAATCCAAGTTCGGGCCCATCATCGGCAGCTGCTTCTCCCCTGCCGGCCAGCGCGGTCCCTGCGGCACCCTCCTCAGCAGGTCAAGGAGACCAGGACAGGGGTCTCATGCTTCCCCCTCCCGTCCCTGCAAAGTCTGGGCATAGCCCCAGCGGGAGTCTGACTAAAGCTGGACCGTAAGTCGTCCAACCTGGGCTGCATCCGCCTCGTGTAGAGCGCCCCCTAGCTGTCATCTCCCGTGTCTTGTATCCGCATCAGCTGATACAACTATATAGCCCTCGGATGACCCGTCTGCCTTCCCTCAAACAGCTCTCCGAACACCTCAAATATCACCCCTCCGCTTCTTCCCCTACCTCCCAATCTCCCAATCCCTTCGAGGCTGTGCCACTCTCATCGAATAGCTCAGCCGGTGCAGGCCCTCTGCGGATAACCACCAACCCTTCGGCTCTTGCTGGATCTAACGGAGCCCCCATGAGCGGAACCTCCAACTCGCCTATTGTCGCTCCTAGCCCTAGCGGAAGACTGAAACTGCCTGCAAGCGCCATGATGCGCTCCCTCTCGGCGGGTTCTAACGGCGGTATTCTGCCCACAATCAATTCTCCTCGCACTGCGACCGGCCCCGAGGCCGGGTCTCCTGCTTCATCTTCCCCTGCCCCAAGGACTGCGGCAAGCGAGCTTGCCAAGAGCATTCCCGGCGGTCTGGGCGATTTCAAAGAGTCTGCTTCTGGCAGTCCTGTGACGCACTCTCGCTCACCCTCGCTCGCGGGAACTGGTGCCGAGGGTAGTGCTAGCATGTCGAGAGGAGTCAGCAAGGACGGGGTTCATGGCTATCGGGATGTACCCACTTTGGAGGAGATTCGGAGGAGGGTCAGTGTCTCTAAGGGGACTGGAAATCAGGCAAGTGGAAGCGGGCATAGGAAGGGTCTGCCATCCATGTGGATGAACCCCGAGGAAAAGACGGAGGAGAAGAAGGAGGAGGTCAAGGAGGTTGAGAAGAGCAAGCCTACTCCTGTCGACACTGCCTCGACAACTCCCGTCGACAATGCTGGGAAGAAGAAGGAGCATCCTTTGCAGCACGCTTGGTAAGTTTTATTGTCCCAACAATCCTCCCTTGCTCACCTTTTGTAGGACTCTTTATTACGATTCCAAGACCTACAAGCCTGATCCCTCCACTCTGCCGCAAAAGCAAGGTGACATTTTGGCAGACTATGAGATGACGCTATTGACTGTAGGCAAATTCGAGACTGTAAGTGGTAATAAATGTCAGCGACAAAGCTGACCAATTCCAGATCGAGGGATTCGCCCGCCACTTCAACAACATCCGCCTCCCAAGCCAGCTCTCCCCGTCATCCAACTACCACATGTTCAAGAACGGCATCCGGCCCATGTGGGAAGATCCCGCGAACGCCAACGGCGGTAAATGGGTGGTCCTCTTCCGCTCGTCCCCCGGTACCATGGACTTTGCGTGGGCCAACTTGACGATGGCGCTTGTCGGAGAAATGCTCGATCCTGAGGACCAGGTGTGTGGTATTGTGGCGAGCGCCAGACCAAAGATCGACAGGATCCAGCTTTGGACGCGAGGCAGAACGGATCAGGAAGGACTCAACAAGTTGGGCAAGAGGATTGTGGATGTGATGGCGTTGGAGGGGAGGGATTTGGAGTCCATGTCTATGGAATACCAGGTACGTCTTGCTTTCGATCGCTGTAGACTTGCTGATCGGCTTTGCAGTACAACACTAGCGACTCTAAACCTCCTGCTGGAGCCTTCCTCCACATCCCCTTCCCCATTCGCAACATTGGCCCACCTTCCACTCCCTCTCGATCCATATCGACCTTCCAAGGCCCTCCCGGTAGCGCCTTTGGCGGTGGTGCCACTCCGCGAAGCAACCTCGCACCCTCTTCCAACCTCACCCACCCGTTGCCGCTTCCCCCAAAGTCACCATCCGTCCATGTGACTGACTCCGCCCCGGCAATGAAGAGAGGGCTGAGTGGGGGTATGGGCAATCCATTTGCAGGACCTTTGGGTCTGGCAAGGAGTGCAAGCCATAACACCCGAGAGGGGATCGCAGGTCACTAAGACTGCTAGTATCGGTTTCGGGCAGTCTCACTGGATGAGATTGTACTGCTCTCCGTTTGTGGTAATATGATAATGATATACCCTTCACGTAACTGTGGCTGATCTTGTCCGCTTGCCATGTATGCCTTTTTGCCTAGATTCGATCACTTCCATTATAGATACAGGATGCGAATACATGCAGAATTGGGATGTCGTTCTTCTTCTATGCCATCATTTTTCCTTCACCTTCTACATCTTTTTGTTCAGCCGCTCACAGCTGCTGTTTTTGAGCCTCAATCTGTCGCACAATGTAGAGCGAAGAGTCGAGAAATCGGTCGACACAGTTCTCAAGACATTGGGCTTCCGACCTGTGACAGTGGTCAGCTAGTGACAATAAACACCAAAGTGTATACTTACTTGGAGAACTTGGAGCTGATGGACCCGGTGATACAGCTATATAACAGTCAGTGATCGCTGTGCAATCCTTTTTGCAGTGTGACGTACGTGTTCCAACCTGCATAATGTCAGCTCAAAAATTATATGTCATTTGACGACAACGTACATGTATTGGTGAGCTCGTGAATGCTGGCCTGGAGTTTGGCCTTGGCTTGTCTATTGGGTCTCAGCATCAAGATCTCGTTTCCACCTGTCTACATACTCTTGCTCGAGGAAGGTTTCGAGCTCCTTCTGCAGAGAGGGTGAGTATGCTACGCTTTGCTAGAGGCAAGAGACGGACCTTGGAGGCTTCGTCGAGGGCGGGGATAGGGGCGGGGGCAGACATGGCTGTTTTGTGCTTTGTGGTCGAGTAATGGGTTGTCGACGAGTGGCCGAGAAGGAGACAGCAGAAAAGTAATAACCAACAGCAGTGACGTGTAATTAATTTCCTTATGACGATAATCACAACAATGCGCCACTCTTCTCTTGCATCCGTCCTCACTCCAGCAGCCATGAGCGACTACGCCTTTGTCTCGGGCGGGTCACTCAAGTTCAAGGGCGGTGCGGACACGTAAGTGCGCCGCGGGGGCATTGGGACATGGGCTGACTGCGAGTAGAAAGAAGAAGAAGAAAAAGTCCCACTCGTCTTCAGATCGCTCCAAAATCGACTCTGAAATCAAGCTCAAGGATGGCGGCAGCGGCAAGGGAAAGGAGAGGGAGACGTTGGGGAGTGCGGAGGCTCATGGTTCCCGCTCAGAATCGCATTCAAGATCGCCCATGCCCGAGAGGAGGGAGGAGCCAAAGATGACGGAAGCCGAGAGACGCTTCTTGGAACAGCAGAAGAAGAGGGTAGGTGGAGACTTGACTGGTACCTCGTTTTGGTTCTAACATGGGTTCAGCGACAAGAAAGAGTAAAGCAAACAGCAAAGATGACCCACAAAGAGAGGGTGTCCGAGTTTAACGCCAAGTTGGATTCTCTCAGGTGAGCCTTGTTGGTCGAATTCACCTCTCGAATGAATGCTAATGTTGGTCCTAGTGAGCACCACGACATGCCTCGTGTAAGTATCGATGAAATTAGATCGAACAGTACCATGTTCACGAGGCTGATGTTGTGTCTAGATCGGCCCCGGGTAATATCAATCGCCATCTGGAAGTCTATCAAGATTTTTTGTACTCTACATGCATGTATGTTTGATCATCGCTGCTGAATGTGTATGGCTCGCTTGCTGCTTGCGACCGAGAGACTACGCGTACTCCATCATCCACAAAGCGCTCGTACTTCACACTCAATTCATCTTCATTTCAATGTATGTACCATGTATCAAGCAAATATAACCTCTTCAGATATCACAACACATCAGCCTCTACACCGATCCCCTCCCGGCCGAGAATCCGTACAGCTCGCTCACACTCCTGGCCATGATGTCCTTGACAGGACCCAGTAGCCTGGTGAAGGCCTGTTCGCCCAGAGCAGCAACCCTGAGGTTGTCCTGCCCGTCCGCCTTGACGGTGGCCGCCCTCGTCCGCCTGTTCAGCAGAGCCAATTCTCCAAAGTACTCTCCCGGACCATACTTTTTGACAACAGCCTCCCTTCCCTCCTCGTCCGTCTTGATAGCTACTGCGGCTCCACTCTCGACAAGGTAGAATTCGTCGCCCGCCTCACCCTGGCGGATAACGTCCTCACCAGGAGCAAATGTCTTGGACTCGAGAACATCGGCAATCTTGGCGCGTTCTTGGGGCTGGAGGGAGGCGAGGATGGGGACCTCGGAGAGGAAGGATTCATACAGGCGACGTTTGCGGGATGTGTGATCGAGGAGGATGGTGCGAAAGGAGACGCGGTCGAGGGCCCAAAGGGTACAAGGAGTGAGGGAGATGATGGAAGCGGCTCGGGGAGCACTGCAAATTATGAGCAAAATCTCTGGTTAGACAGGCATGCTTACTTGTGCATCAGCGCAAGCTCTCCAAATGAGCTGCCTTCCTTGCATTCTGCAACCTTCTTGCCCAGCTCTGGTCTGTCGCCCTTCTCGGCATCGATGACCTGTCCATCCTTCTTGACAAAGATCTCCAGCCTACCGCTCTCGACAACGTAAAAGTAGTCGCCCGCCGCGCCTTGCTCAATGACAGTCTCCCCGGCGTTGACGCTCACTTCTTTCATCGCAGCGAGCACGTCAGACTCTTGCTCCTCATCCAAGTTTCGGAACAAGAAGTTGGGTTGGATGGCCTGGCGTATACGCGCCTGCTGCTCGTCGGTCTTGGGGTAAACGGGCGTGGGCGCGAGGCCAGAAGAATGCGAGGGGTTGGGAGTCGTCTCGTCCTCCTCCATCGTCGTCTCCAGACCTCCAGCAGTGTAAGACCTCTGGCCACTAGGCACGAGTGACTCGGCAGAGACGGATGTCCTTCGACCGAGAGCATACGACGGGATGGGAGGGTCGTCAGAGGCGACGTTGGGGCCAGGGACGGATTGGATGCCACCGTTCCCAAAGGGCGAGGCGTTGAATCCGGCTCCACCCTCGCTGAAAGGACTGCGGTCTTCAGTAGGGACGCCGCCGCCGGCTCCACCAGCACCAAACGGAGGGCTGAAGATGGGGGGCGCCGAGAGGTTGCTGCCGGTGGGGACAGTTGCTCTGCGAGCACCCGCTGCGGGACCGCCGAATGGCGAGTCAGAGGGGCCCATCTCGGAGAAGGGCGAGAGGGCGTGAGGCTGTTGGAAGTCGAAGGTGGGGTTACTGAATGCCAGAGAGCCGGGTGGCCCTCGCTTGGCGACGGGGTCAGAGGCGGGGCCTTGACGCTGCAGCTGGGTGAGAAGGCGCGGTGGGTGGAGGGGAGGGGGCTTACCTCCTGCCTGAGCCTGTGGTGGAACCAGTCTGCACCCCACTGGAGGGCATCTGCTGGCTGGTCCCTGGCGTGGTCGTGGTTGAGGTCGTTGAGGATGTCTGTCCACGACATGAGGGGTGGATGGGAGTGTTGTGGATGCAAGAGATGAGTGGGGCGATCAACCCAGCCCATTAGGGTTCATTACAAACAATTCCTAATCCCAATACAAATTCCCCCGGTGGAGGCAGCCATCCCTCCATTCATCAACAACACTTGACGGACATACATTGCTGCCCCCCGTAGCCATGTCCGCCCAGGGATCGCCCCAGCAAGACCACTCGCAACTAGCAGAGCTTGTACAGAACCTCGACGTCGAGTACGGCGCCACGCCCGGCAACCACCTCACCCTGCCAGCCGCGAGCGCGACGCTGCAGAGAGACCAGGTGGACAACCACTCATTGTCGGAGGATGACGCACCTCGAGAGAGCGGAGTCGCAGAAACCGCACAAGATGCGAAGTCCCAGAGTCTGAATGATGTGTACGGAGTCTCATACGTTGAACAAGTCCGATACTGACCTTTGGCAGTGACTTGACGAAGCAGATTCACGATCTGATGCAGCGAGTGGCTGCTCTACTTGACAAGATATTTCGTGAGTGACTGCGCCTTGCAGTTAGAAGACACTGAACAAGTATAGAGCTCCAAGAGCTACGGCATACGTCCAGCATCCCGAGCTCACAGCTCGAGCATGTGCTGGAGGCTTTGGCCTCATCCGCGTCCGAGATTTCCACATCAGTGGGCCAAGTCCAGGAAGCAGCAGCGTCGTACACTCAGCAGTGTACAGATGCCGACAAGGCCAAATGTCTCGAAGACGGGCTGGAAGAGTTGGACGAAGCGTGGACAAAGGCCCAGAACAGGTATAATGGGTTCAAGATGGACGTCAAGGAAGATCTGTGGCTGTCGGAATTTGAAGCGTGAGCAGCAATTATTGTTTCACCTATTGGATGCTGATCTGCTATGTGCCAGCTCTGCGGAGCAAGTGGAGGGACTCATGTCGCCCTTATCAAAGAGTTTGCTGGATTGTCAAGTATGCCTCAACTTTATACCCTTATACCTGGCTAACACTATCGACAGGAATATCTTGAGCGATTCTCCAGGGCATCGGGCCCTATTCCCGAGAAATCAGAATTTGAAGAACAACTCAGCGTGGAGGGCCTGAAGAATCTGGCCAAAGACCATAGGTCGTTGCTCAAGTTGGTATTATGACTCTGCAACATATGGGCAAGCTGACCGTGAGCAGGACGTACATGTCGAGCACGAATAGGACACTCAAGAGGCTGGACAAAGACATAACAGAAAAGAAGATCACCAATGGGGCTGCGTTGAGGCGGTAAATACACGTCCCCTTGACAATGGATCCAAACGCTGACAGCTCGTCAGGTTCAACGATATAAGTCAACGATGGATAGTGCTCCAGTCGCATCTGCACAAGCTAGATGATCGCATCGAGAAAGTGCTGGATCAGATCACGTCGGACAACCTCTACAACCGACATCAGGACTCGGGGCCGGACGGAATGGAAACGTTGAGGGATGATCTCGACGAGGTCCTGGCTCGGGCTCCGGCAGGCAGGAATGAACGGCGGACTCCTCGTTCGTCCATGTCGTCCAACATGTCCTCCTCCTCAGCTCGGTCAGCCAACAGCCGTCTCAGTCCTGGTCCCCTCCCATCCTCCTCCGCTCGTCCCCCACTTGGCCGCCGGCGCTCTTCTGTATTCTCCAACAGCTCTGTTGCTACGGCACACACGACGTCTCAAGATCGACCAAGGTGGAACGGATCCACCATAGTAGATTCTTCTCCACCATCTGTAGCTACGCCAACGGTATCGCGGATGCGACCGTCACCAGGTCCTGTAGCAGGTGGGATCCACTTTCCTTCCGACAAGGGCAATAGGATCACGAGTCCGACCCCCAGCAACACTTCGATGGCAAGCAGGGGCTCGAGGCGTCTCAGTCGGTTACCTGTCTACACTCCCAGATCATCAAACGGCCTGATGTCACCGCAGAGCGAGGCCAGCCATTTTTCCGGCTCATCTGCCCATATAACCCGCCCTTCCTTGCCCGGATCACTCTCCACCTCGCAGTTACTGACCCCCAACAAGGGCCAAAGCCATCTTGAAAGAGCGGGCATGGGACTCAAGACTCCCGAGCCAGGGAGAGGAGTTGGACCAGGGGGTAGTGGAAGGCCAGCCGGGACATTTTCAGCTTTGCAGCCGAGGACGAGCTCGGGGGTATCTACACCTACTCGTGCTAGACGAGAATCAGGAGTCGGAGCTGGGTCTCAGACGGCGCCCGTGCCGAGGTTTGTGTTGGGCAGACCACCACCTTCGTCGTTCAACTCTCCTACTCCCACCCCACGAATCCCAACAAGACCAGCCTCCCGCCAGTCTGCCATGTCTTACGCGCCCTCTGTATCCCATGACCTCTCCACCCTCCGCCCATTTCGTCCCTCCCCATTCGATCTTCTTGACCAATCTGTGCAAGCGCTCTTGACGCAAGAAGCGTTCACAATGGAACAAGGATTCTTTGTGTCTAGAGTGGACGAGGCGCTAAAGCGGGGGCAGAGGCTGAGAGATGGTGAAGAATGGAAGGGAGAGTATGTCTTTGGAGCTGGCAACAAGGGCTGCTCGGTCAGGAGGATGGAGCTGCCCGGGAGGGGCAAGGACGGGGCAAAGAGGGTCAAGGTGTTGTGTCGCGTGGGCGGACGGTGGGTCGACCTGGTGGAGGTCCTGAAAGAGAGGAAAGAGATTGTCGAGTTTATGGAATAGAGGTCCAAGAGGGGGTCTGCATATTACGATCCTGACGATTTATACGATACCATCTATGTCTGCTTGCTCTTCCGTATGCAACATTTGCTTTATACGAGCAAAGAGGGGATCACCCTCTCCACAGATGCATAGCATGATCGTAGAACGAACACGTCGCTATAGCACTCTCCTCATTTTCTAGAGGCAACCTGCTCCAATCGGCCCCATACGCCAAACTCTCGTGCGCCTCGAATGTCTTGATGACACTCCCATCATCATCACTGAGGGCTCCCCAATCACCCCCGACCATCTGTTCCGACAGTCTCACGACCTTGAACCCATCATGCATGCTAGCCACCAGCAAGTCTCCCCTTCTCTCGAGGAGCGGATGCCACCGAACCCGCCAGATCCCACCCCCCATCGGCAGCGTGAGCAATGGCGTGCGCGGGGAACGGGTGTCAAAGAGGCGGAGAGACTCGTCGTACGAGCCGATGGCGAGGAGATTCGGTGTGTATGGAGATGGAGTGATGGTGGTCACGCCGCCATCAAAGTTCTTGTTGACCATGGACGGCATGAAGGGTTCGCGAAGGTCCCAGCGTTTAAGCTTGCAGTCGTCTCCACCTGACCATACGGTGTTGACATCTTGGAGGTCGAAAGCGGTGATCCAAGGTTCAAAATCGTGGGCATGCCATGAGGAAGAGACTTCATAGCCTGTAGGCGTAGGCGTGAGATGTGAGAGTGAGCCGTTCGAGATGGAAGCAATGATGGACGGCTCTACAGATCTTCAGAGTGGGATGTCAGCTGAGTGTTGCTAACCTCGCATAGACTTACGGCTCGAGACGGTACGAAAAGTCGAGCGAAAGACAAAGTCGGGTCTCATCTTCGACATCAATCGTCTGCACTTCCTCCAGTCGTTTCTGTCACATTATAATGTCAGCTCGTTTTTTCTGTTGCATGGGCCTCTCACAGTGTCAGGGTTGAGCTCGTATAAGGCGATATGCCCTTTGGCATCCGCAACAGCCAATCTGGGTCCGCCGCCAGTCCGCACATGAGGGGACCATTTTGAATCGAGGATGGCTGGTGTCTCTATTCTTTGAAGCTCATTGCTTCAATCAAGTCAAAATGAATTCTATTGCTCGGATAAAACTCACGGTTGACAATCCTGATCGATCTGGAACAATAGCAGTCGCCCCTTTCGCTGTGTCGATTGCGGTACAAACTCTTCCTCATCGCTATCGCTCTCCTCCTCGTCCTTGTTTTCTTCTGACGCTTTAGGCTGTTCTAACTCCTCGGGTTTGATTATTTGATAAGTGCCGCATACAAACAAGTCTTGAAAGCCTTGAAACGGGCAGAATTCGATAGAGTCGGCAGAGTAGACTGTATCGACGTAGGCTAGGGAGGTCGCTGTTTGATGTCAGCTTGTGTCTGAACTGATTGCTCGGAGATTCAGCTTACCCTTATTTGTAGGCATCCTGGGCTTATGAGTATACACTTGATTGACCGTTCACCATCAGACATACGCTATTGCAGACTCTTTCGTCGGATGAGCGAAATATTTGCTTCCGGCGGGGACCGACGGTCTGAACCAACTTTGTGAAGCGTGATGGACAAGTGATACATTCGTTATATGAACTGGGCCCTGCTGAGCCAAAGCGTATGTGGATGAGATATTCTAAGACGTGGCGGCGACCTTTTATCACACTACCTCCGAGCACATCGAGACGATACAGTTGTAGTTATAATCCCTTAACTTCAAGAAAGCCGAAAGAAACCGACATGAACAGCTTTTTGTCTACCTCCGGAGAAAGGCCATGGAGGGGTTACCCATGTTCTTTTGGCCTCCCATCTCGACGTCGCGCAGCGACTCTTCGTGGTCGACGGAAGGGAACCAGGTGGGGAGGGAGATGGCCATGATGAGACTGAATGCAAAGCTACATGGCTTGTCAGCGCTACGCTCAAACGTCAAGAGGAGAAGACGACTTGCAATTCAAACAAGATCTGCAGGATCCAGAAAGCGACGCGGGACTGGGCCACGGAGTCCGAGTCGGTATTTTCAAATTGGGCGAGCTTGTAGATGGTGATGACGAGAAGACAGCCGTCGAGAATGTAAAGCCAGGCGGTACCTCGGCGGGAGAGGTTGTAGTTGACAGCTGTGAGGGTGATACCGATTCCCACGAGACCGACGACGACTGCAAAGAGTCAGCCGGGACAAGATGTGAGTCAAGGAAGTAGGCTTACCGACGGAGAGAACCAGACTGGCTCGTCGAAGACCGGTGACAGTGTCCATCTTGCTGGGGTCTTTGATGGCTTTGCCGATCATGGAGGAGCCAATGACCGCCGTGGCAATGCAGGCCATGAGGAGGAGGTGCAGTGCCCTGTGAGTGGTTAGACAAGGACCCTTTATGTGTATGAACGAAAACTCACTTTGAAAGGAGAGACAACCATCGAGGCCTGTCTTCCGGCCTGACCTCTGACTCGACATGGTTCGTCCAGCACGAGATGAGAGGGGCAATCAAGAAAAGGGCACCAATCGAAATCATGACGAGCTCGGCGATGAGCTCGTTCTCGTTGTACGTGTTTTTGGACATCCAAGCTCTCAAACCGAAACTTCCGAGGCGACAGGCGACAAAGACGGCGGGCCGTATGAGGATCATGGTGCGGTCTTGCTTGCGGACGAAGCGGAAGACGAGGACGGGGATAGCGAGAACATACTGATGCTGGTGTCAGCCATGTCGTTCATGGTCGCGGCAAATTCAACTCACGATAGCCAAAAAGACAATGGACGGGGCGAGGTCGGTAGAGGTGGGGAAGCCACCGGTAAAGTTGAAGTCGGAGATGTCTGTGGTATTGGAGGACATGGTGGGCAGGCAAGCTGTTTGAGGGGAGATGTGAGTCGCATAGGGGGTGTTATATAGTGGGCGCTCGCTATTGAGGCTGGAGGTATTTCGGAAGCGAAATGGGATGTGGGGTGAATACCGAGTGTGAAGCGCTAGACGCGTTTTTCGGGCAGCAGGGCTGGCAAAGAGACTAGCGTGCACAGCTGGTGCCCGTGAGCGAGTGCCCCGTGAAAAGACGGAGAGAAAAGGACAAGGGAGATGTCCGATCACCCGCCGAAAATAGCACCCGCTTCAGCTCTCGCTCCTCGTCTCCGCTGGAACACGCCGTGCCTGCCCGGGCTATCTCCTCTCTCCTGTGTGTGCGTTCCAAATCCCTCTATCATTGGCGCCCAATGACCCCAATCTCGGCATCCCAGGGCCCCTCGGCCTTCATAAAGTGCATACAGTCTTCCCTCGATCACCCAAACCTGGCCTTGTCGTCTGATAATCAGCTACGGCGCTGGCCGCCCCTGCGATGAAGGCCGTGTTGAGCCAGGTGTAACGCTCTTGCAGTCCCCTCCAGGACACCCATCTCTCTGACTTCCCACCGACAGCCTCGGCGACCGTACTTGCAGCCTCAGCTATCTTGCCCGACGTGCCACAACACGTGCCATGCCAGGCATACATTCTGCTTGACTGCTTCCTGCTCAACTCTACTACAAGTAGGTACGGGCCGACCTCTCCAGATGGCCATCTGCCTGCATACACCAGAGCCAACGGAGTGACTGTGACTGGTTGATCGGAGCCGAATCCAAGGCACTGCCGGAGCTGGCCGACGCGAAATCTTACACAAGCAGGGGTTATTAACGATTTTTACTACGTCCTGCTGACCCACCATTAGATGCAACTGTGGTCAGCAAAGAAAAGCCCACTGCGACCTCTCCATCCCTGCAATGCCCTCCCTCATGGCCCACACACAGGCGGCCCACTCCGCCCCTACCCAGGCAGACCTCGACATCCTCTCCCTCCTCACCTCAGACCAGTCCTCTTTTGGGCCCCTCGCCGCCCCCCAAAAGCCAAACGTCAGCCCGCCGCTCAATACGAATGGCAGGAAAAAACAGCTGCCCCGTAGGGAGAGTCCAATAGACGCCCTCATGATCAGCGCTGTCCTCGCAGGCAGTGGTCCAGTAACGAGACATCATTTCGGCCATGGAATGGGTGAGCAGGCTTTTGTGGACAGGCGGATCCACCTTCATGCTGACAATTGACACCCATGATCAGCCCGTACAGGCGCATACGCATCTTGCGATGAATCCCGGCCGTCCTCCCCCGGACAACAAACAAACCAAGGCTTGACATCTCCAAAAGTCGTCATGAAATCCACCCAGGCGCCTCGGTCCGAACGGGTCCGTATGGAACGCGAGGCAAAGCTTGCCCTCCAGCGAAAGCTCGAGGCTGAAAAGATTACCGAGGATGTATCGACTTCCTCTACTGCCGGCCCGTCTGTGACGGGCGGTGGTCCTGCGCCAGTCGATGAAGAGCACCAGTACGGTCACGCGCCAGCCTCCTCGCGGTACCAACGAAAAATGTCCCTCGACCCTACCTCCGTCACCCAACTCCTCTCCTTCCCCAAGCCCTCTTTCGCCTACAACCACTTCCATTCCTATCCATCCGGTTCGGCAGCATTCAACCCTATCCCCAACTCGCTTCCGGGGCCGATCCAGGTTCGATGTATGGCCCGAACGCGAGTGCCGACGCCGCATGGCGAAATATTCTTGCACCTCTACCACAACTCGCACGACACGAAAGAACATCTTGCAGTGGTGATTGATCCAGTCCAGCTTGACCCGGAGACGCGAAGCAAGGCGCCAGAGGGGCGTAAAGAGATCAGGAGCAAGAGTCTGAATGCTGTATGGAGGGAAGGCGAGACAGAGATGGAGCGAATTGTACGGGGAGCATATGTGGGGCGCCTCAAACCTGGAGTAGCAAGCTCCAGGGGCGATGGTCTGCCCACGGTAGAGGGCCTGCAAGGCGTGGAGGACGTCAAACCGCTGGTCCGGATTCACTCGGAATGTTTTACTGGCGAGACGATCGGGTCGATGCGATGTGACTGTGGCGAGCAGCTCGATGAGGCTATCCACCAGATCGGTCTACCACAGCGTATCCCTCAATCTCAAAATTCCCATACCCCGCTATCCCCAGGGACGCCCTCGCATCTTCCCGGCAGGGGCGTCGTCATCTACCTTCGTCAAGAAGGCAGAGGCATCGGCCTACTGGAAAAAATTCGTGCCTACAACCTCCAGGATCTCGGCCACGACACCGTCACTGCCAACTTGATGCTCGGTCACGGCGCAGACGAGCGCAAGTATGACATTGCCGCAGAGATGCTCCGTGACCTCGGGCTGGAACAAGAGGGGATCCGCCTACTGACCAACAATCCTGAAAAGGTTGCTGGACTGGCGGGCGAAGGGATCAGGGTTGTGGAAAGGGTCGGGATGGTACCACGAGACTGGCAGTGTGGTGATGACCAGCTGCATCCCAATGCGGCCGCAGAGCAGGGCGAAAAGGAGGAGAAGGACTATGAAGATTGGAGGATGAGGAGAGCGGGTGTCGGGTTGATCGGCTCCAGCAAGGCTCAGGGCCCGGAGCTAGAAAAGTACCTGAGGACAAAGGTTGAGAGGATGGGGCATAGTGAGTTGGCTTCTTACCCTGGCCGTAGCTTTCACTGATGCTTTGTAGTCATCGATATCCCTAAAGATCTCTAGACAGCGTTTCGGCGCCAAGGACGATTCTGTCGAGCATGGTTTCTCCCGTTGTACACATATAGACACTTGTCATGTTCTAATGCATTGCTTGCCATTAAACATACAAGATACATATACAACGCGGGCCTTTGCAAATTATACGTCTTCGTCTTCTTCCCCCGCGCCCTCTGCAGCTTCTGGCTTTGTCTCCATTTGCTTCCTGTACATGTCTGCAAATTGCTCGCTCGTCGTTGCTTCTTCCCAAGTCTTATCCTCTCTGACTTTCATGAATCTTGGGAATCTGACACTGAGGCCGCGTTCAGAGCCCAGAGCTGAAGAAGCTGCTGGGTAGACTGGCGATAGTGTGATGCTGCAAGAGACGTCAGTGGAGGTTCGCGCTACAGATATATGAGACTGACTCTGCACCCCGAATCTCCCACACCTCGCTCGGAGCAAACCAAACGTCCGGCGTCAGCCCATTGGTATCGATATACCCTAGCGGAGTCGCCTTGTTGCATTTTTCAGGCATGCCTTCGGCCGGATACCGCTTCGTGAGGTCCTTGTAGAATGCGTCAGAAAACCCTACACCAATCAATCAGCCGAGATTTCGCAATCGTCAACAATCATACTCACCAGACATGCATTTACAGACAGCTTCTAGTGCGCCGCTCTCTGGATTATGGCAGGCCAGAAGAATCGGGCTCCACCAGCCCGCCTTTCGTCCATTGCCCCACCAAGCACCAATCGGTACAAGATCCAGCGAATCACCAAGGCCTTCCAGATAATCTGCAGAAACACCATGAGCATTATGTCATAGTGGACGAACACACTGACCTTTCTTGACTTTGAGCCAGCCCTGACTTCTTTGGTCTGGTTCATACGTGGCAGGTAATGGCTTTCTATTGCCAAACTTGCGCTTCACCTCGGTCTCTCCCTCCTCTTCCGCTTCTGCATCTTCGCCCTCCAGCCCTTCTCCACTCTCGAGAAGTTTGACCATCAACCCCTCGCACTTGTTCTCTACTACTTTTTCAAAGAACGCTTGTAGTTCTGCGGGTGCATCTTCAAATTTGGTCGAGTCGACCGATTCGACGTGATTGAACCGAGCAGCAATAAGTGAGCTTTGGGGAGAGACTTTGGTCGGAGTCAATGGCGGTAGGAAAGTACGCATCAAGTGACGGCGGTGCGAAAAGGGGCTCCCCAGAAGTGGCTTCCACATCATCAGCAGACTTCAGAGACCATGTCCCATGCCACACCCACTATATCATTCAACACCATGAGGTCAAAGGCGTAGACACCAACGATGACTTTGATATCCTCTTCTCTTACATCCTTCTTGGCTCGATTGCTCAGCTCTTGGAAAGTTTTGAAAGCACCGGTATCTTTATCAATGGCTACTATCTCTGCGTCGATGATGAATGACGTTATCTTTTCCGTCTTGAGGAGATCGAGCACCGACTGGGGCTCGGTCAATGTCGATGAAGGAAAAGGTAATCGCTCGGCCGGCAAAGTGCGTTTTAAAAGCCGGAGAAGTAATTGACAGACATCTGGATACTTTTCGGTCATATCGTCGAGGTGCCTGACATCTCGAATCAGCTCACCATAATGAAGTCGGATGATGGGACATACCTGCTGAACAATCTGACCCAGATCTTGTCGCCAGTGTCTCCCACAACCCATCTACCGCCTCCGTCATCCTCGCCTTGCGGTCCTTCGAGCCTTACATGGCACTGTACTCTCTGCCCATCCAGTTTGGCTTCGGCTGTGAACGGCAGCTTGCCAAGTCGCGTAAATACCTCATTGAGCGATCTTGTGATAGATCCAAGCATGGGGGATAATGGTATACCGACAGTCACAGCAACTCTCTCCTCGAGACCCTCAACACCAAGCTCTAATCCTTTGATCAGGTGCGCATAGTTTGGATGGCGAACGTATGCTTTGCGCACCACACCGATAGCCGAAAGGCATAGTTGTTCGGCTGCTTCACGAGAAGGATCCGTCTCTGGTTTCACTTTGGTCGAGCGTTTGCCTTTGCCATCAAGGGTCGGTACAGGGAGTGGAAGTATGGTGGATCGCAGGTCCTTGGGGAGATGGAGTAGTGCTGTGGCGCGGGCCAAGGCGGTGAGAAGCGTCTAGACTTTAATCAGCAATCGTAGTGCAAGCTCATCTAAGCGTACCAATTTTACGGCTCCGATCTGGGCCGCTTTAGCAGAGTCCCTGTTCTGTACTGTAGAAAGCACTCACCCTTAAATTGCCTATCATACTTCTGACCAAGAATCTGACTTCTTCTCCTCTTGCCTGGACCATCAACTTTCGAACAATATCACCCTTCACCTTCCCACTGGAGCTGCCTTTGATTTTAGATAGCCCGATGAGCTTCTCATAGACATCTGCTGCCAACAGAGGCGCTGGCTTGATGAGCGTTCGCAAATTGGTCTTGGCCTCAAAAGCGACGTCCCCAGGGTCCCCATACTTTTGATACAGACGCTTGAGATCGCGCGGCTGGAGGCCAGAGACTTCTTGCATAGCCTTGGAAAGGATTTGCGAACCGATGCCGAGATCACAGGGCACATATGAGGGGGCGAGATGGTTGGATAGAAGGTAGAGAGAGGGGGACAGGTCGACAGGAGAAGCATGCATGACGAGATGCAAGAAACTGGAGATGTCAGCTGAATAGCTCGAACAGCATATAACACGCCACTCACTTGGTTATTATGCGCACTATAGCCAACCGAGATCGCGTGCCGGATACCTGCACATAGACGCCCACAAGGATGCTATACGGTAGACGACCTTTCGGCCATAGGGCAGTATCGATACTGGAGGGGATAAAGACGAAGGGATCAGTGTCAAAGTCAAGAGGCTGGACAGAGTTGCCTGCCTCCGATGCTATGACTGGAGTCTTTGAAAAGGCGTCCTTCTTCTGCGTTGATATCGAGGCCTTTCCCTTGCTAGGATGCGTGCTTTTCGAGCATTCGGGAACAGGCTTGATGTCTTCATCTTCATCATCCAGTATGTCTATGGGCTTGTTGTCCCGACTAATCTTGTCGGTATCCGATCTGGCACCCTCAGACCCGAGAGCGGACGTCGCCTGCTTCCGGGACTTCTCCCCGACAGTTGGCAGCTTCATTGTCGCTGGAACAGGACGCTCTTCATCATCCGAGTCGTCAATTGTGATGACCTCGCTGTCGTTCGGTTTCGACGACTTTGCCTTTGAGGGAGAGGCAAAGAAGGAGGCGAGGGTCTTTTGCTGATTGCCGGACGACCCTTTTGCTTTCTTGGCGGGAGATGCAGGAGACACTGGAGCCTGTCTCTTTGGAGCCATGATGAATATGGTGGGGATTGAACAGATGCAACATTGGGTTGGGAGTTTGGCTGACATCACGATTCACGCGGGAGTGACGATCGATTCTGCAGACGCGTCGTGGACTCGCGGTTTCGGCGTTTAACTTGGATTCTCATCAATCTCTTGCATCTCTTTCCATCTTTCCATCCATCCCTCAACACCAGCAGCATGGCAGAGGGTCTCGAAGAGTGGATCAGCGATTCCAACGAAGTTTTGAACCTCCAGCTGGGTAAGTGCATTTCTGGCACGACGCGTCAACGACCAGCTCATATATCACGTACAGTGAGGGCACCCCACGACGCGGATGTCCTGAGTCGCGAGGAGGTGCAGGCCATTGAGCCCTTCAATCCTAGCTTCACATACCCTATCTTTGGCGATACCGAGAAAATATTTGGCTACAAAGGTCTTGATATCAAGGTAGGTTTGCGACACGAGGTGGTCATCTCTGACAGTATACAGTTGCAATTCGCCTCTGGCAGCTTGAAGCAATACCTGAATGTAGCTTATGACGAAAAGCTCGCTTCCACCACTACCCCTCCCGACGAGATTGAGCCCACTCTCTACAAGTTTATCCCGCCAGACTACACCAAATCCGACATCCAATTCGAAACAACCGTCAAGGAGGATGCAGAGACTTTCAAGCCCTTTGGCGAGAAGCTGGGATCCTACAAGCTGCCGTCGAGTAGTAGCCAGAAGAACAAAAAGGGAAAGGGAAAGGCCCAGGCGGTGGACACAGCGTCCCTCGACGAAAACAGTGAAGACACGGTCGTCTTTGAGATGTACAAGGTTCGTTCCCAGCGAAAGTGTGGTGTAGAGTGTGCTGAGCAGTGTATTGCAGGCATCGTGGAACACTCCTGGGTTCCGAGAATACCACCGCAGAATGCAGCTCTTCATCCTCCTCTTCATCGAGGGTGGAAGCTATGTCCACGTAAGTGGCAGTATGGCCATGTCTTATGACCACTGACCGTATCTTCAGGAGGACGAGGATGCCTGGGAATTCATCGTCTTGTTTGAGAGGCGAAAGCGACCTGAATCAGATATCTTTACCTACCACTTTGCTGGATACGTTTCAGTATATCCCTTCTGGTGCTACCCTGACCGGGTGAGACTTCGCCTCAGTCAATTCGTTATCCTGCCCCCGTATCAGCACCAGGGACATGGCTGTACGTCCTTGCCTTCATGGTTGATAGCGACTAACATTGTATAGCGAAACTATACTCGACCCTCTTCCATCACATGCTGTCCCGCCCCGAAGTCGCCGAGCTCACTGTCGAAGACCCCGCCGAAGCGTTTGAAGACTTGCGAGACCGAAATGACCTTCGCCTCCTCGTCAAAGAAGGGCTCTTGACGGATTCCATGTTCCAATCCGGTGTCGGACAGGGCAAGCGCGAAGCACGCAACGAGTGGGAGTCTTTGACCAGGAAAAAGTACAAGATTGCGCAGAGGCAGTTCGACAGGCTGTTGGAGATGTTGCTGCTGAGGCAACTGGACAAGAAGGATGAGGCCAAGGTCAAGGCGTATAGGCTGCATGTCAAGTCTAGGCTGTACCGATTCAACTATGTAAGAGGCATCGACGTTATCCCTAAGCTGCACTGACGTCTACAGGAAATGCTGGTGCAAATGACCCCCGAAGAGAGGAAGGAGGCACTGGCCAAGACGTACGATTCGGTGGTAGAAGACTACGAACGTATCCTCGAGATGACTTTCCATTGATATATTACAATCGGATCGCGAGATGCATGGAGTGAATAAAAAATGCTACACAGATGGTTCGGTCAGAGGAGACCAAAGGGCATTACCCAAAACTATATTACTTTCTACTATCCTTCGACCTTGTAAAAAGCCCTCCCCTTCTTTGGCCTCCTCGTAACGTGCACTTCCATACCGTCACCCCCTCTGAAAGCAAGCACCACATTCTCCTCCATCTGCGGCGTCCCAGAGACGACAGACTTTTTCCTTTGAGCAAGGACTCTCTTGGCAAAGGAGAACCGGTCTTGTGGGGAAGTTATAGGGAGATCGGAAGATTCCACGAGGGATTTAAAGAGTTCATAGGGGAGGAGGGAGTAGGTGGTCACAAGGGCGTTGTCTGGGGTGGCGAGCTTGTCCTCTTGAACGACGCGTAAAGGGAGGTCATTGAGGAGGTAATTGAGCCTGAGCAAGGATGAGAGGTAGCGCAAAGTGCAAAAGGATAAAGACTCACACATCATGCTTCAATCGGATTGTCCACTCTCCGTACCGGGGATAAGGGTTGTCCAACCACGCCGATATCCCTCCCTCCGAGTTCTGCACCCCATTAGCAGCTTTGGGGTGCTGCTGCTGGCCGAACATTGCTGAATCAGGCGGGACTTCGAGCCAGCGCACGAGGTCTACGGCATTGCTGGCATCGATCGAATCGCGGATGATGAGATACGCGTGGTGGACAAGCTCGGGCATGCCACCGAACAAAAAGGCAGTGGAAAGGACCGCACGAGAGTTTCCGGGCTGAACAAGGCTAAGAGAGGGATCTGTACGACGATGGTCAGCCAACGTCATTTGGTACACCCGTTGGTTACTGACTGTAGAGGTGCTGAAGAGATATGTGCACAGCTTCCTGAGTAATATTGACATCGGCAAATGAGAGCTCGATAGTAGATCCGGGGGCGCTGGCCGCCATCAAGTGAGCCAAGTAGGGGCTTCTCGCAAGAATGACTAGCATACGAGTCAGCACAGAGGCGGAAAAGAGATAAACGACTCGTACGTCGGTGAGCCTTCAGCCCGCTCGCAAAGAACATGAGCTGAATGTCCGACCATTCTTGGTTGATGTATCCAACATTGAAAATTCCCCTGGCCAAGCTGACTGCATGGAATATGGGGTCGATTCTGCAAAGTCATCTGAGTAACTGCAGGCGCCGGTCGTGCAAGGTACGTACTCGTTGCTGGGCACTTTTGCGGTCTCGGGGTCCCCATTGAGGGAAGCGGCACCATTGCCGTTGTGGTGAACGGTGTCTGAGGCCATGGCGAGCTGAGGCTTTTGGGGTAGAGAAGGAGGCGAATGAAAGAGGACAGTTACTACGTATGTACGCGTTCATACCTCCACTTTTTGAAGCCTCACATAGGCACGCCAGCGCGCCTAGTCGCCCAATCCAACTGGCTGAATTACACAAAGCATGCATTTGTATGATGGTGGGTTTGATATATCTAGCATGAACAGACGCCCATGCCTCCCTCTAGTCTCTAGTCCCAGATGAGGTGTCCATTCGATGTCACAGTAGCCTTCGCACTAGCAGTCTTGCTACGCGCGGACTGACTCTTGTTTGTCGAATAGATCTCGTTGATGCGCTCCCTGGTGGACCATAAGCATACCATTATGGTGTCAAGAGAAAAAATCGCACCTCTCGAGGTCCTTCTTGTGACTTGCCAATCGCCTCACCCGGTCCATTTCCTCCGCTTCTCGTTGGGCCTTTTTGAGTTCTGCCTTTTTGGCATTCTTCTTCTGACCTTTGGTAGAAATGGGCAGGGGCAAGGCAGTCGATTGCTGAGCCGATGAAGACGATATGTTGACAGAAAGCGGCTCTGATACATCGTCAGTCGGCTCCCGTCGCGAGGTGGGAGACTTACTCTTCTTCTTGGACGCGACCGATTCCCAGCCGTCATTCGCTGCTTTTTTCGGAAGCTTGACTTCGGGCACGACCTCATCGCCGGAAACGCTGCTGGCGTAGTCCTCTTCATACTTGGCTACCTTGACAGGCGGTCCCAGGGGAGGGAATTCGGGGTCGTGGACGGCCTGATCCTTCGACTCGTTCGGGGCGACCCGCATCACTCGAGATATGGGCGCAGGCCTGTCCTCTGGGGCAAGCATACTGCAGCAACATCAGCATGTTCCCAGCACAAGAATCAGTCGAGCGTACTCGTCCACTCTGGTCTTTCGCTCCTTTGGCAGGAGCTTCTCTGCGAGCAGCTTCTTCCTCTCCGCCTTGGGCTCTACCTGCTCAATCTGTACAGCTTGTGCTTGTGCCTGCGGCTTGACATCTTGCACGTCTTTTGCAGAGGCGGGCTTGGTCTTCTTCTTTGGCTTCTTCTTCTTGGACTTGGTAGACTGAGAGTCTGTGTTTGGCGGGGTGTTGCTGGAGGGGTAGAGGCTGGCTGCAAGGACGAGCACGAGGAGGAGGGCGCCCCCTACGAGAGTCTCTGTGGGGATGTAGGGCATGGTGTGGCTGACGGTCAGTGGAGAGAGCGCGCACAATGCCGCCTACATAGCAGCATCTCGGTGCGGCCGCCGGGGATTACATAAGGGGGCGGGAGCAAATGGGGGCCCAGGGCAGGGCAGGGAGAGATGTGCTGATGCTAGGCAAACCTTATGTCGAATTCCCCGAAGGAAGGCCGAATGAGATGTGCAACTCGTCCAGTGGAGTCGCAGGGCAGTGGTGTCGTCGTGCTGCCCCGTCCTCGTCCAGTCCACCCCTGTCCCATCCCCTGCCCCTGCCCCCACCTCCACACTAGCTACAAACGAGCACAATGCATGCATCCCAGCCGGTCCAACTTCCCAATAGGGCAATTCCCCAACTAGCGCGACTCTTCCCCGTCCAGTTCCCCAAAGAGCACGATAAACGCGAGCGACAAACGGATAATCACGGAAGGGTTTGAGAAGCTGCGGTCGATCTCGATAATCCCAACAGAAGAATTTGTGAGCGAGACAGAATAGACCAAGTCCGCCAAGTCGTCTTCTATTGTTATCGCGTTTCTACCATTCCCTTTCCACCGTCTCTCGCCTGTTTGGCATCCGGCACCTATACCCCAGCAGATCCTGCCGTAAACTCCTACGGCACTTGACGCGTGACTGGCTTGGCTCATCGTTTGCTGTCAACATCGGACGCTATCGCCCTTCACGTCAGATACCAGAGAGCGAGATACCCCTCACTTCGCCCCCGAACGCACTCTTTCCAACACCACCGAGGCCTGGAAGATTAGAAAAGAGGTCTGTAGATCAGGTCCGGATCAGACAGCTGGTACGTACTTCCAGGGTGTAACTGTTCGAGTAGTTTGAATCCGGGATGGCAGGTGTCCCGTCGGGGGGCTTCAAGGGGTTTGGACGTTTCATGTCGACAGAGTCGCACGAGGCTCAGTCGTTGTTGGCGTGAAACACCGAGCCAGATTATAGCCCCTCTTCAGTGTTGACATTGTCTTGTTGGACTGCTGGCTGACTCCTCGTGGTGTCGAAGATCCTTCACTGCACTCGAGACCGATCAAAGGGACGCGCCCACACGCGACTGTCTGCGGTGCCAAAAGTTTGGCCCCTTTCGTCTCCTCAACGGCTATACTTTCACCATCCCCATACTCGCCATTGGTGTTTTCGAGCAGGGCCACTCCTGCCCTCATCTACGATAGTGTTTGTCACAGACTCGCGACTCTTTCCTTATTCTCTGCCTCCATTTGAGTGAGTTCCCAGCCCACATCCCACCAACCCACACCCCCACCAGTCCACGTCCTTTCGACATGCTGACTAGAGTGTAAAAGAGTATTACCCTGGCCCCTTTTACCCCAATCGCGTCAACCTTTTCGCCAAGGCAGCTCCATTCGAACGCGCAGCCTCTCCTCGTGAGGTGTATTCTACGCACATCAGCTACAGGCGTCTTGGATCCCGTCATCTAGCGGGCCCATCAGTCTACTGGGAATTCTACACATCACCTATCGTGGACGGTGCTCCAGCAGTCACCGACGCCCGAACCGGTGACCGTTCCATTAGCGAATACAGATACCCAAAGTGAGAAGAAGAGACGAACAAGTATCGGACTGCCTCCTTGATTTGCGACAGGCCCAAGATCAAAGGGAGGTACCCCTTCAACTATTATCCTCAAAGCTAGACAGGAACGCTGGCAAGTCATCCGGCGATCTGGATAGACGGACGGACGAGCACATTTGTCACATCTGTAAGTGATCCATTGCCTTGCTGTATGCCCTTGCTGGGAGATGCTTCAGTATAACCGGTGCTTGCAACAGTGTACACTGTGAGAAAACGTGGCTGACGGAGACTCCTTCAGGTGAAGCGAAACTTGTGCGCATACACATGTCTGGCTACCTCCATCCTATCTACAGCACATCATTCACATACGATACTCGAAACCGCCTCCACTCCTTACAACACTACTGAGAACATGTCCACCTTGTACACAGCTCGGGAAACCCCTTCGCCTATCAAGATAGAGCCTTCCTCCGCGACGTCTTCGGCGCGGAAAAGAAAGAGAAGCGAGATAGGTCAGAAGGATTCGCCAGGTGTTGAATCTCCCTCGAGAGGCTGGGAAGCTATTGCGGGGGGATTGGGTCGCGACGGCTGGTGAGTGTACTGATAGCTGGTATAAGATCAGAACTGATTGTCTCAAACAGGACGTATCACCTCGAGATTGTACAAGAGCCCTTGCGGGCCAGAGCTTGTGGATTCGGTAACAAGGCAAGTCGTAAGAGTCTGGTGAAGTGGCATGTGCTCATTGGAATGTAGGATCGTCGTCCATTGACCCCTCCGCCCATCATCCGATTATGGATACGCACAGCAACGGGTGAAATCGTTGATCCCAAGTAAGGCAACATATCTATCTACCAAGGGGCGACTCTGATCACTAACATGTTCGTAGTGTCGTCAACCCAAACACTCTTATCCTCCAGATGGACCTCGTCTCTGTGGACGGCCAAGAAGAGCGAAATGTTGTAAAGCATCCTATAGGAAGCGCGTCTACCGCTACAATTTCGAAACCTGTCAGCTCTTCTGCGGTGGTTAACCAGCCGTGGACGGGAACGTCTGATACATCTGGGGTGATCACGGAATCCCCGCGACAGTCTTTGAGTGAACATCCCGGATACAGGCAAAGGTCTTGGGCGGGTGAGTTTCTTTGACATTCACAGTCTTCTGCTGGCTGACTAGACTCAGACTCTTATGCTTCCGACCCTGGGTTCCCTAGGTGGGCCGAGCCTACTCAAGCTTACGCCCCCTATCCCTATGCACCACCCCATTCTGGAGAATGGTCGCCAAACCCGCGCAGCTGGCAGGCGGCGAACGAAGGGCGTCGTCCTCGGCAGCTCCCCTCTCCTCCTCGCCCGGCCACCGCCCCAACTCACGAACAAGCTCCGCCACCGTTGCCAAGCGCCTCACACAGGCACTCGGCGGGCCAGACTTTGCCCCCGCTCTCATACATTACTGAGAGCCCCAGGGGATCGACGCACAACGCCAGTCTCCCATCCATCTACCCTCAATACGCCTCCTACTCTCGTCCTACATCGAGTCGTTCTTCTTGGGATCGCGCGCATACATCTCAATCTCCTGGCGAGTTTGCGTCGGCACCCGCAGACTATACCATGGCGAGGCCAAGTACGGCAAGCTCCATCAGCAGCTTCTACCACCCGGACGCGGCGTACAGGGACCGGGCTCATTCGGGTCCATGGCCCGATGACACTCGGCCTCCGTCAATGTCTTACACAAGCGACCACAGGCCTTCAGCGTCTTCGTTGGACGATTCCATCGTATCACCGCGATCTGTGTCTCGGCACCAATTCTCCAGCTCTAGCGAGTACAGCTCGTACAGCCCCCAGGCGTACTCGCACACCTTTGACCCTGTGAGAGGAATATACCCGTCCGGCTCTTTTAGCGCGGACCATTATCTGACGCAGCCCAACTCCATATCGACTCTTGTACTTGTGGGTAAGCGACACACTCCCTGCAACAAGCTTCAGGATGAGCATGGGCAGCTGGGTTTGTTCTTTTTCGCGACAGACTTGGGAGTGAGGACCGAGGGGAAATTCAGGTTGCGGATGAAGGTCATGGATCTGGCTTTGTGAGTAGCAGCCTGAATCTTTCTCAATGTGTGCTGACCATACCTCGAGGTTTTCGCCTGTGCCCATACAAGGGGAACACATTCCCATACTGGCCGACACATTCAGCGAACCCATCGAGGTCTTGTGAGTGCTTATCGCATGCCGAGTCAATGATTGCTGACGCTACCACAGCTCCGCCAAGCGTTTCCCTGGCGTGATTCCTACCACCGACCTGACCCGAGTATTTGCTTCGCAGGGGATCAAGTTGGCTGTGCGTGAGAACCACAAACAAGGCGGGCGCAAGAAGAAGGGAAAGGGAGACGAGGGAGATGGGGATGATGACAATGAGGACGAGGAGGATGATCAGTGACGGACGTTATATAAGCTGGACTATATATCATGGAGTTTCCTGGGTTTTCAGCGCGCAGCACATGAATGCACAACATCAGTACTTTGCGAGGCGGGCAAGAGGCGGGAGTATGGATCAACCTTGCAGTGCAAATGAGAGGGGCCAGATAAATATCGGACGTCGCCGCGATACCAGCATCGTGCTCGCCCGGCGGGGCCGTCATGGGAGGGATGCCATTCATTCATTCATCTCCAGTGTCATCCAGCTATCCCCAAGCACCCATACCGCCAGCATGTCCAGATCCGGCGCCCTCGACGACAATGAAATCCAGTCCGAGATGAACAAGATGGTACGTCCGCGTCCCCCCTGTCAACGTGCCCTCTCCGTTGTCCTTGTCGTGGAAGGGTGGAACGATGCTGACCAAGGGCTGATAGGTGGCGTTCATCTCGCAAGAGGCGAGAGAGAAGGCTAGAGAGATACAGGTCAAGGCGGACGAAGAGTTTGCTATCGAAAAGGTAATGGCTGCTATCTGACCAGGGGGTACGAGCTCACCAATGATCCACAGGCCAAGATTGTGCGACAAGAATCCCTCGCCATTGACGCCCAGTACGAGAAGAAGCGAAAGCAGGCTGAAGTAGGATGGAAGATGTGCGTCGTTGCGAGTGCCATGTGCGGCGCCCAGCTGACCCAGTGCACAGCTCCCAATCCACGGCAATCAACAACTCGCGTCTAAAGATCCTCCAGTCTAGAAACGACCATCTTGAAGCCATCTTTGACGAGTCCAACAAGCAAGTCAAGGATCTGTCTACGTCTGCCAAGTACAACGAGGCTGTTGAGAGTCTTATACTCGAGGTAAGGAGCTTGGCAGTGGTCACAATGGTATGCTAATGGCTGGGTACAGGTTCTCCTCAAGCTTCTTTCTCCCAAAGTGGCTTTGGCGCACCGCCCGAAAGACTCGGATCTTGTAAAGAAGGCTGCATCTGCTGCCCAAAAGCGATACAAGGAGATTGCGGGCCGCGAGTCTGAGCTCTCCTTTGAGGACAGTCTTGCGGACGACAGCGCGGGCGGTGTCGTTGGGTCGGCTTTGGGAAACAAGATTAAGGTGGACAACACTTTGGAGGAGAGGTTGAAGATTCTGGAGGAAAAGATGCTCCCAGAGTTGAGGCATGATCTATTTGGACCGAACGAGAACCGCAAGTTCTACACTGTGAGTATGGCTTCTTCCGAGATGCATCGGTTGGCTAACGTGGAGCAGTGATCATATGATAGCTTGTTCGTCGTACCAGTTGTGCCATTACCCATACTCGATTTGATGAATTCAAACGATATATGTTAACGTTTGCGTACAATGTGCGACAAGGCTGGTTCAATCTTGCATGACTTTGCAAAGAGTCTTTGAACAGTAGTGTGAAAGCAGAGACAAGTGTGCATGATTCACTAATTACATTGCGACCAGCATTATAGAGAGTACATTTGATCGCAGCTTGCTGGATACCCTTCTGACGAGAGCATGATATGGAGACGCCCTCTCATACACCCCTCCAGTATGTACAAATACAATATATAAAGACACTTTAAGGAATTCTATAACGTTCGAGCGTAGGCAGTCTCAAACTTGACTAGTCTCTTTTTGACTGTCAAATGGTCAGCGTTCATTCTTGCTAGTAGTGAAACAACTTGCCATCTGAAAGTTCGCGGCGCAGGCGGGCGTTTTCTGCATTCGCGAGTTGAATCTGATGTTCCTTCTCACCCAAGTCGTGCTCTAGTGAAGAGAGATGCTCTAAAGACCGGTCAGCGACTGTCAAAAGCCAAGTGTAATCCGCTTACCTTTTCTCTTGGCGCGGAACGTCCTGGCACTGATCCTGTTGCGCACCCTCTTCCTCTCTCGGGCAGACAGCGCACGATAGTCCTCGACCTTCATGCCCCAGATCATCCCGTCGCGCTCGACACCCTCGGGGACCTCATGCTCGTGCTCATCGTGGTCATGCTCGTCAGGACTGTGGTGCGAAAACTCCGAGTCTGAATGCAGAGAGTGGCTGCGCTTGATGGCGGCGCTGCCGATGCGTCTCCTGCCCCGTGTCTCGCGTTTCGTAGACGAGTGGCGTAGTATGGGGGAGGCGTGCGGGCTGACGATTTGAGACGATATGGGGGACGGGGATCGGGTGAGGGACTGGTCGACGACGTTGAGGGACTCGGTCGACCCGAGCTGGGCCGGCAGGGCGCTGGCTGGAGTGTCTGGCTGGGTGAGGAGGGAGGTGGCGATGCCTGTGGCGGGAAAGGGAAAGTAGGACTGCTTGTAGACGTCCTGGAGCTGGCGCAGCGACGGATCTTCCGCTGGAGAGACAGGCTCGGGCTTGACGCTCTTCGGTGATTGACCGGACGCCGATGGCCATACCGAGGGGTTGGTAAGCCCAAAAGCGTACTCCTCTGGTGCTGGTGGCGGGGGCATCGCTACGGACGGGTCCGTCCAGTCAAAGACGGTGTCGGGGGAGGGCGCCTGGAGGTAGTTCTGGTACAGGTAGGACCCCCAGGTAGGCTGCGATGGAGGCGTCAGCAAGGTTGCCGGGCGCCGGGCGCCGAGAGCGGACTGACGATGGCGAGTGTGTCTTCGAGTGTCTGGGTCTGGAGGGCGGCCATGGCTGTGGCGTGGTGTGGGACGGGGGTAAGAACAAGATAAGAACACGGCGGAAGACGAGCGGGGAAGAGAAGATGGTGTTCTTATAAGGAGTCTCGCTTGAGGACAGTTCTCACACCTCCACCGAACACCGGCTCACCGGACGGCAGCACAACAACAACCCGCAGCTTAGTCACACTCCATTAGTCAACACCCCGCACCACTCCACCGAGCCGCACACCGCCGCCACCGCGCCCCCCTCGCCCCCCGGCCTACGCACCATGCATCCATCTCTCTGTGCTCGCCCCGTTTGGCCCCTGGGGACCATGGGCACAGAGACGGCCGCGCTGCATGCATGGGGGCTGGAGAACGAGACTGCTGTTCATGGCTTGTTCGGCCGCGGGCCCGGGGCAGAAGCCGGCGGGCGGTACCGTAAGGGTGACTGCCGTCCCTGTTTCCCAAGAATTCAACCGAACTCTCCTCCAGCGTGGTATCACATTTATTAGACGAGTCTTTTCTCTTGGTCATCTGCTGGTGAGTCTTTGCCGGGTGCATTACGATATGAATCAGCTGCAGGGAGAGCACAAACAAAGGTGGACGCTCTCGTCTCGTATAAGACCGAGTCCACCGCATGCCGTATGCTCCATCACTAAAAAGGCCGCCGAGCCCTTGTTGACGCTCATGGATCTCGGTGGAGAATGATACAAGACCGCCGCCGCCGTTACCGCGGGTCGGTCAAAACAATTATTTGGATCGTCTGTTTTATTTGATTCAAGTGCTTAAGAGCATCCAGCGCGTCCGCGGGTTCGGCTTCGGTATCGTCATCTTCGGCCTTCTCTCGCGAAAAACAACCAAACTCATGGATATGAGGATGTTTATCGTCTAATTATAGAGAGCGCGTCACAGTATCAGATCTCATGCATTTCATACAGATAAAAAGATATATCAAAACCGTTCGACACTATCGTTTTACGGCTGATCTACACCAACACACACTAGACAGCAGCCACAATGGCCTCTGCAGAGTTGAGGGCGCCCACCATCTTGACACACTCCCTTCTCCTCGCAACGACATCCGGAGACTCCTTGAGCAGCTCTTCGAGTACTTCGGGCTTGTACAAGTGTTCAAGCAGTTCGCGCTGGAGATTCTCCTTGGCAAAATTGACAAGGTTGAACGTGATAGCCTTTGGAACCATGTCAATCATTTCACGCTTGACCACGGAAAAGTATGAAGTAATGAGGAGCTCTGCAAGACACATTAGCGACAAGTCTCTGTACAAACGCAAAAACGTACTGATCACATCCGTCTCCATCAATTCACGGTCATTGAGCGATGCCACAGGCTTGATGATCGCAGGAGGCGCCTCCATAGCCGCAGATCGCTTCTTGGGCGCCGACTTGTCCTTGTTGAAGAAACTGCCAAAGAAGCCACCCTCATCCTTCTTGTAGTCTGCGTCCAGATCCTTTCCATTGTTGAGCGCGTTGGGCGCAATCTTTTTAGGATCGACGGGCTTCTCGGGAGGCTTGTTGGCCGCGATGCGCTCAGTCACCAACGCCATGGCCTTGTGGCCACCGATAAAGTCTGGATGCGTAGTGTTGACATAGCAGGCCTGCATGGCCACCATGTCGGTGACGAGCTTGTTGGTAGGGTTCATGCAGCTTTTGAAAAAGTTGATCACGACCAGGTTGAACCGGTCCTTGAGCTCGGGGTATCGTTTAAAGGTTTGCTGCGTTTCGTGTAAGCTCCCATCGCATCGCCGCCATCCCCTTCCGCAGACTTACGAATTTACCCAAGAGATGACCCAATATTCTGATCAACTCGTCATACACCAAAGCACAGCATCGCAGGGAGGGCTCTTCAAGTCGTCTGATCTGTTGCTTGACAATGACCTCGAAAGCGGTGGTTCCCACAAACAAGGCAGGCGTGGAACCTGACGAGTTGTACAGGATGGTACGGATGTCGCCGTCCTTGACCTGGTCAAAGGGGTCAATTGCCTTGACACCATTGTTGTACAGCTCGTGGAACACGAAACTGATACGGGCACCACCTGAAAGCTCATTCAAAGACAGATCGTTCGTGTTACCGTCAATGGCAGATCGGAATTCAGAAGTAAACTCGGTGATGGTCGACAGCACCAGACTCCCAGGGTTTGTCTCGCCCATAGCTCCGCCCAGAGACGCGAGCTCGGTTTGATACTTGTTGAGCTGCTGGCTGATACGAGCCTTGATGTCGGGAAGGGTGTTTCGGATGTGGTGCATCAAGATCTACAACCGATCAGCTGAGCCTCCACGCGCCAGGCCAACTCACAATGTTGAGCTTTCGCGCCAACCATGGAGTTCCGCAATACTGAGCCTTGCTCGCATACGAAGCGTGGTTCTCAAAAAAGCGCTTCTCATTCTCCAGAGCGGAAGCAATGGTCCTGGACTGGTCAATGTCCTTCTGGCCTCGGTTGACCACGGGCACGTAGCCCAATCTGAGGGGAATGACCCGGCCGGCCAAAATGTCGACAACATCCGTACCTTGGTCCATCAAATCGACCTTTGTCAACACACCAATCGTTCTGGTACCCTCCGGGTCCACCTCCCGAGCAAGCTTGAGCCCGTCAGAGTTGGCCAGATCAGTGTTGGCGCCAGTGACGGCGAGAATAATGGCGTTGGGTTTGGAGATGAATCGCATGAGCATGTCACGGATCTGCTTTTCGATATCACGCGGCTGGTCACCGACGGGCACCTTGGTGAGACCGGGGAGATCGACAAGAGTCAGGGTGAGGACGTTGGGAGAGAAGATACGGAGGTTGATGGGGTTGGACGAGATACCTACCCACCCCATTAGCGTTATAGACAAGACGAGTGGCATACCCACCAGCATTCTTGCCCGTCATCTTTTCCGTGTCTCTCACAATCTCGTCTCGGATTTGGGCAAAGTCGTGGAACTTTTGTCCCGGAAGATGGAGAAACTCTCCCCATTCGTCCGCATTGTTCTCATTCAGTTGCACCTTCTCCAAGGCCTCTTCGGGCTTTTCTGTGTCTTTGGCAGCACCATTGGGTTTGCTCGTAGCTGGCCGGTTGATGAGTTGCAAGACCTGTAGCGTGATCAGCCCGGTACGCGAACCGCCCTCGCTCGCGTGTTTGCACTCACCAAGGGTCGCCTGGTAACAATACCAGTACCTCGGGGCAGGAAATCTCTACCGACAATGTTCTGTCATGGTAATCAGCTACCGGCGATGCGTGTTGCAGATAGAGACTTACCTCAAGCACAGAGGATTTACCACTACTCTGCGAGCCTATGACGGTAATTTGAGGCAGATCCTGTACAGCGACGCGTATCAGAGCTGGGCCATGCAGTGCTATACACCATAGGTTCTCTCATATACGCACGATATTGTTTGACACGCCGATAGAGGCAAAGACATCTTGAAGCTACACGGATGGGGTGGTCAGCCACGGCGAGGACGAGGGTCGCGGAGGGGATACCTTGTTGACGAGGTTGATGAGTTGCTGGTCCATGGTGGAGGGGATGGAGACGGGGAGATGGGAGGAGGCAAGGAGAGAGTTGGGAGAGAGCCCAGGGATGCTTGGGCCATACGTCGTGGTGGCGGCAGCGGGGGGGCACGGCGATCGCCGCCCACATTGATCCCGTCGCCACTCTCCGCGCGTCAACGCGGCAACAACGCGGCCGGACTGAACTATCTACAGGATTCTAGAGTAATGCAACAGGACAACCACAGGTCAAGACGAGGTCGATTAATTGAGAAGCCGTTCATCTCAGGTGTATGCTACCTATGCACAAACCCTATTCCCTGTTCTACTTCTACATTGATAAGAAAAGTCGAGGTTGCCCGGAGACGAGCGTGTCGTTAATCTGTATTACAAATGGCAAACAATCACTGCTGAGCAGAGTAGCCATTAGGTTGAGGATACACCATGTTGTTGTTGTTGAATTGCAGCTCTCTAGACGCATGGAATAAGCAGACGGCCAGACGTGCAATACCCAGGGCGACACTCACGGCTGTGATGACGCCGACGCCATGTTCATCTGTGGAGGCATTTGATGTCCCATGTACTCGAAACCAGGCTGGGGCGGTATCGGGTTGAACATTGGCTGGAACATGGGCACCGGTTGTGATCTGACGTCGTCAGCGACACTCGTGACTAGATACGCCATACTCACGAGCTCTCCACAGGCGTCATCTGTGGAACAACCTGACACGGGTAAACGGCATCGATAGTCGCGTCATGTCCACCCCCATCTACAAATTGCGCGTGTACCGGTATCTCGAACGGTGGGCCAGGTTTGTCCGGCACCCCAACAAGCTTGGCACCAGATTCCCACCGCAGCCAGCTCGGTAATGAGCCAGGTGGGGAGCTGAATGTCGGCCGCAAGGTGTCTGATGCAGCTTGAGGATCCCAAATACGGGGCTCCCATTCATAACGTTGACCAGTAAGACTGCTACTTGGTCAGCCAAATTCAAAATGGGTCACAAGGTATGCTTACGCAAAATTGCTGGGCTGGCCAATAATTCTCCGTTGGAATGGTCTAAAGACCCATCCTCCACCAGGAAGCTTCTTGGCGTCGACGTTCCAGATATGGTTGCCCTTCGACTTGGCTTTTTTACCGTCGGGATTGAACCGTGAAATGAGGTTTTGCCGCCAAAGGTAATTTTTGATCTTTTTGATAGACATGATCTCTTCGGTGATACCTCTTCGTTGCAGCTGCGGTCTGTGGTCAGTCTCAAGTCCAATGAGATGGGTATCACCTTACATCATCGGCGAAAGCATTGGTAAATGCTTGGATACGGAACTTGAATGGCCGATAATCCGTGGATTCGTCCAATTTCTGCATCTTTTTAGGCATGAGCACCTGATGGATCTTTTCGCCTTTGCTATCCGTCATCTCCACTGTCAAGGGTTAGCATATTCCCAGAGCATTGGCGAGACACTCACAATCGCAACATATACTGTTCAGGAACTCTGCAAATATTTGATCCAGTTGCTTCCTCACCTCGTCCGAAATGCCACCATTAATATCCGCTTGTGGGTCCACCCCCACCGAGCTTCGTCTCCGCTTTGTCTTTCTCGGTCCTTCATCATCCGAGTCCTCATCATCATCGTCGACGGGTGAGCCAGCTCTGGACTGCCACGCAGATGGAGGCACACTGGATGTCATGGCGTTGTGGCCGTTATTCTGATTCCAGTTCCTGTTGACAGACATGCTTCGTCCTCGAGCGATCGGCCGTCCATCTGGGCGCTCGGCGGTAGATGGACGACGTTCGAGAGGGTGAGCAGATTGCTGCGCAGGTGCTGGCACTTGATGCTGGATGCCCATGTCAATCGGCATCATCTCGGCCTCCCACTGATTGGGTAAAGCATACCGAGAAGGACTCGGCGGTCGAGAGGGCGGGACAGTCGCAAGTGGTGACGAGATCATGGGCATGTGCTGGGCATTGATCGAAGCGATAAAGTTGGGAGAAGGAGCAACGGGCGTTGACGGTGATATGTTACCTGACAACTGGCTAGGCAGTTGATGTCCATTGGGGTAGGAATGAGAGTGGACAAGGGGTGGTGCTTGCACTTTGCCCAAGTAATCGCCGGTGACCATCTTGGTACCCGATGGCATTGCGTGATTCGCAGTCTGGATGGGGGGAGCACGTCGACCTTGTTGATTCTGGTCTGCCACGAGAGATGAAAGCAGATTGGATGGCTGAACAGTCATGGGCATGTCGTGAAGCTGCGGAGGCACTGATGTGGCCATCATTGGCATATGATACTGCGGTGCCGGTGCAGGAGCCGCAGCCTGCACATGAGGAGATTGCTGATAACCATTCGGCGAAGTACTCTGTTGCGAGCTTTGGGAATTGGGAGTGGTACTGTCTCTAGAAGGGTGAGCGGGACCTACGCCCAGCTCGCTCGCGACTTCAAGCTGAGTGCTGATATCACTCAAGTTGTGAGAGACCTCAACCTCTTGTCCCCTGAGCAAAGCCTCCCTAGCACTCTGAGCAGAGTCCAATATCTTGTCCAACAACGACAACTTGTCAACCATCTCGCTCGACATGTCTGAAGATGTCAAACCCGCAGAAGGATTTTGAGGCAGTTGGACCTGGGGAAATGATTGTGTCGCGACCAAGTTTTGCGGCATGGCTTGTTGGCTGTACTGCCCAAAAGATGACCGTCTGACTGGCGCAGAAACGATTCGGGGATGTACAGGCGTAGGTGTGGACATGTCATCCATGACAATGTCGTTCTCGCCCGTCTTGTGCTGCTGCGCTGAATTCGGCGCAAGAAATTGAGTTTGGGCGCCTTGATATTGAGGAGAGACAGTGGTGATGTCGGGCGACGGCGCCAGGGGAGAGCTGGGCGACCCGTTGGAAGCCTGTACGGAAGAGAGGGAGATGTGGGTTGGAAGAGCCTGCTGGGGTGCGAGCGGCTGTGCGAATGTGAAGCTTAAGGGGTTGGCAGCACCAAAGCTATAGAAAGAGCCTCCACTGAAGGTTGCCCCTCGTTGCCTTCCTCCTAATGGAGTCTGATACTGTTGGGGAAAGACACTTCTCGCAGGGCTCGACGGCTGGGAAGCGGGCAGCCGATGGGGCTGTTGCTGCTGCTGCTGTTGCTGGCCGCCTGACAGAGGGCTTTGAGATTGGATGGAACCTTCGGCGCCTGCAGAGAGTGGCTCGTCTGGAGGAAAGTGAAAGTAATCTTGTCCAAAATCAGAGTTGGGTGCAGAGAACGAGTCGGTAAAGGGTGCCCCCGAAGACGGCAAGGATGTGGGCGACTGGTATTGCTGAAATTGTGGAAAGGCTGACGGGAGGGAGCTGATGCTTAGGGAGAGGTTTTGCCTGCTGTGATTCGAGCCTGACGACTCTTCCTCTGTGCTCTCTGAAGAGGGGGGAAAGGTCTCCCCCCCGATCTGTGAATCGGTGGTAGATGCAATCCTGTAAAAGATGAGCTGTGTGCTTGCTGTATTCGCGGAGGACGTACGTGGAGGGGGAAGGGGGAGAGCTGAAGGCGTTGAATACCCAGGTATTGTCTGCCAACTCGGCGTCTCCGGTGGACCCCAGTGGCCCAAGCGACGAGTCTGAGTTGGCGGATGGATGCCGCTGTGCGCTCGAGACTGCTGATGGGATGGGGGAGTTGTACGGTGGCGCAGCAGAGAGGAGGGGGGCTGGAAGCGGAGGTGTAGACGGCAGGTTGACGCACTGCAGGAGAGGCTAGATAGCGTTCAGAGTCAGCTCAGGGCATCTACTGGGCACCGCATGTGGGGATGGCGATGGCTTGACGATCCGTGAGCGCGAGGACACCGTCCGTGCCCAATCAAAATCGTCCGCCTTATTCTCCTTCCTGGCTGCAACGCCTGATCCATCTCCTGTCCGCCTGTCGCCTGCCGCCTGTCTCTGCGACCCCCTGGCCATGGCACACCCCGATGAGAGGAAAGGGACCCACCTACTACAGCGCCTCTCTAGACCTGACAGTCGGGAAGCAAAAGAAGAATCAAACAGAAAGGCGTGGTAAACGCCACCACAGATCACCAGAGTTTAACGGGCTGTTGTGTGAGGCGGCTGTTGCCGAAATACAGTTTACGAGAAAAAGGCCAGTTCTCTGTCCGGTCTACGAGGGCAAGCGGGGGTTGGGGGACAGGCAGCACGGCGTGTGTGTTGTTCCTGCTTCGATTGTTCTCTCGTCGTCAAGGCACGACACCGGTTCTCGTAGCCGTTGGAGGTCGATCAATCAACACGCGTGGTACGAGCAACGTGCTGTGATCAGCCACTTGATACGGCAAAGGCGATGCGAAAAATCACGAGATCCAAAGCCTGCTTCTCTCGCGCTTTCTCTTCTTTCTTTGGTTCGCCCGGTCTAGGCTTTTGCTGAACCCGCAGTCCAAGTTGCTAGACGCACGTCGAGTGCCGAACGTTGCTGTTGCAGGGGTCGATGGGCGGGATGGAGGCGTGGGTATTGTTGGAACAATACAGTGAACCGGAAGATGCTTCCGCCGGCCGATGGGATGAGATGGGTGAAGGCTGCTGAAGGAGGACGGGGCAATAACGAGAGTTGTCCAGCTGCCGGGCTTCTTTTTGTTGTCTACCGAGATACCTGGGCGGCAAGTCTGGGTGTGTGGATGCTGTTGGGATGTGTGGTACCTGTGAGTTGTGCAATACAGCGGCTCTGTGGGCGAGACATCCAGACATGGAGGAAAACCCAGGACTTTGGGGCGGTGAGCGCCGCTTGCGACAGTTCCACCCCCCTGGGTCCCCTGCCCCAGTCCTGAAATTGTCGATCTCGCGCTCGTTTCAGCTGCTGCAAAAGCTACATACCCAGAGTCGTCCATCTGCAGCCGTCTTAGCCATCAGGGTCGCCTTTCTTGCCGTCATCTTGCGGCAGCACCTTCGGGACCACCTGCTTTCATGTGTGCATACGTTCCTGCTCACACTTCTCTCTTCAAGCAGCAACAGAGACGCAGAGTCGAAACAGGCGCCGGAAAATAAATCCATGGTCCTACCTATAGCGGAAATTCTTGGTAGAGTCCAGATCTTTTGGACTTTTGGGCGCTTTCGCTTCCGTTCCTTCATGTAGTAACTGAATGCCCTGGCGTACCTGGCCTGCCTTTGCTGGCTTGCTGCTGCTGGGCCGGCTGCCGGTGCTGCGTCTGCCTCGTTCGCAGCTCGTTCTTCCAACTTTGTATGTATAAGCTTAGGCGATGATCTTGCATGTCGACATTGCATGACCAAGCCCAACAGAAGAATTTATTAACGTAGAAGTAGTATATCCTACAAGGAGAGGTCTTTGATGTTCTGCACATGAGATGGAAGGCATTCAACGACAAGATGCCTTCCAAAAATATGCCTCCCAAGAGCGTATGTTGTAGGAACACGGCAATAGTCTGTCTGACCGTATGACGGTATGCCCTATCCATCCACAACGCGCACGGTACTTGAGGGATCATCATATGGCGAGTCGATAGATGTACTGTTGAGCGCTCGAGTCTTGACTAGCAACGACTGTGCACACCAAGTTGGCGTACAACAAGTCCGTCAAAAGCATACTGCACACCACCTGCTGCCGACCGGCTCCTCTTTGAACGGTGTCAGAGATTGGTTGGAGGTACGACAGGTATCAGGGCAAGTAGTAGAGTCTATGAACGGTGTACGATGCAGCACTTGTTCAACAGTCAAACGGTAACGACCAGAAAGTACCTTGGCAAAGACGCGAAACCGAAGACATGGTCGACGGTGCCATGGTGATAAAAGGACAGCAGACTTCCATGAAGTACGCAGATCATTCGGGAGGGAAGGAGTAAAAAAATGATGATATTTGTGTTGATGAGGCTGGGCAAGCGCTGAAAGAGAGGAGAGAAGGGGTATAGGCGGTAGATGCTGCCGATAATGACCGTCTGACAATGGTCTTTTGCAACGTTGCTTGTCGCGAAACTGGCACGCAGGGATACTCGTCACATCAAAGACAAGCCCAAATCAGCAGTTCCCCATGATCTGCATGGCCTCTTCTCTACACCTGACTTGCCTCATAACGCGTTATGACTCGTGATCCACCTATACGACTTGACAATTGAGCACTTCGTCTTGCCAAGTATCCTTTTCTCCCAACTCCGCTACAGCAAACATTCTCCTCATCGAGCACCATGTCACTCTTATCCCAGTCACTCCATAGCTCATGCGTCCGCTGTAGCCGCCCATCTTCACTCTGACAGCAACTAATACCGTATTTCACCAAGAGGCTCAGCTCGGATTTCGGTATAGTTTATTGTGCTGTCTTTTTCCTCGTCAACCTCAGCAACCAATGCCCTGAGTGATGTCAGCATGGGTAGGCGGGGAAAGAGCGCAGACGTACACATTATCGCCCTTGATCACGTATAACCCAAGTGGAACCATCTCGACGCCTTGGTCGACAGAGTACTCCCGCTCAACGCTGTCCGCGAGGATCAAGTTGGTATAGACATCGGAACCTTTGAGCTTGCCCTGAGATATGTTAGAGAAGGTCTGGACGGAAAACAATCTGAAAGACTTACAACGATGATTCGGCCATCTTGGAGGATGACTTGGACAGTGTCTGAGGTATACTGTCAGCCACACGCATACTCTGCTGATATAGCAAGCCATATATGTATACTTACGGTCAACATAGCTCTCGACTGACGCCATTCTTCCTATCGTACGCGAATGAGGAGAGGGAAAGACGGGAGGGATGAAGAGTGGGATGAAATGCCGAGGCGAGCGCGGAAGATGACCCTAGCTTGCGCAAGGTGTTGGCGCAGAGTAGAGTGGGATGTGGGGAATGGACAGGGAGTATAAGAGCGTCTAGCAACGAAGCATTAGAAAGTGGCCCCGGCGACTTGTTGAAAGCGCGCAAGGCGTATGTGGGGTGCCAGAGAAGGGGCAGTAATTGCCTGATTGGGTGTTTTCGTAGTCGCGGCGGACCTGAGCTGGCAGAGAGAGGAGCAACAACCTCACAACACAATCTCATCCGGCTTTGTCCATCCTTCTCCTACAACCCACAACCCATCTCCCTCCCCTCCCCCACACTCTTTCGCCCCACCGTCCACCCTCCTGCCAGCACCACCCACCCTCACCCCGCTCGTCCCCCCACCTTGACTCCTCCGCCCACGCCCCCTATACTCCTCGCCATATTCTCGATTGTAGCATTGTAGCACGCCATGGCCACCACCCACGTAATCGGCTCGTCCAACCCCGGCGCTCACCTCACTTCCTCGGGGAGCCATTCCTCGAGCTCGAGCAACATTGTTGGTGTCCACTACAAAGTAGGGAAGAAGATTGGAGAGGGATCTTTCGGTGTCATCTTCGAAGGTCCGTCGTATATACCATCTCGCTGAGCCCGCTGACAGTACGCAGGGACAAACTTGCTCAACTCGCAGACGGTCGCCATCAAGTTTGTGCGTGGAAATATCCTTGTAGGCGACCTCCCAACTAACCATGCATCAACAGGAACCGCGAAAGTCGGATGCTCCCCAGCTTCGAGATGAGTACAGGAGCTACAAGATTCTGAGCGGATGTCGTGAGTCCAAGCCGCGTGCCCTGGCGCTTCCGCGACTGACCCGTTATCAGTCGGCATCCCTCAGGTGTACTATTTTGGCCAGGAAGGGTTGCACAACATTCTCGTTATCGACCTGCTCGGGCCTTCTCTGGAGGACCTCTTCGACATGTGTGGTCGAAAGTTCTCAGTCAAAACTTGCTGCATGACCGCTAAACAGATGGTCAGTCAGGAATTATCCGCGCCCGTGTGGTGGGGAAGGCTCGTGCGGACAAACATTTGTTTCAGCGCGAGCTGCCTCCATCAAGTGCTGTACTGACATCTATGCTGTAGCTGTCACGGGTCCAGACCATCCACGAGAAGAACTTGATCTACCGAGATATCAAGCCCGACAACTTTTTGATTGGCAGGCCTGGTACCAAGGGCGCCAACGTCGTCCATGTTGTCGATTTCGGTATGGCCAAGCAATACAGGGATCCCAAGACGTAAGTATCTGTATCAATCTTTACGAGTTGCTACTGATTGCCGTATAGTAAGCAGCACATTCCGTACAGAGAGCGGAAGAGTTTGAGCGGAACTGCCCGCTATATGAGTATCAACACTCATTTGGGCCGAGAACAATCACGTAGAGATGACCTTGAGGCTCTCGGCCACGTCTTCTTCTACTTTCTTCGAGGTGGTCTTCCCTGGCAGGGTCTTAAGGCTGCCACCAACAAGCAAAAGTACGAGAAGATTGGAGAGAAGAAACAGACTACCCCCATCGCTGAGCTTGTCGAGGGCTACCCTAGTGAGTACAACAGATCGTCGGCCCTAGTCTTATTGACACTTGCACAGACGAGTTCTCCATCTACCTCAACTATGTCCGAAAGTTGACCTTTGACGAGACTCCCGACTATGACTTTTTGAGGGGCTTGTTTGATCTGGCGTTGAGCAACAGCGGGGAGGTCGATGACGGATTGTACGACTGGACGGTTTTGAACAATGGCCAAGGATGGGAGGCTTCAGGAGTGAGCCGTGTTTTACTTTCAAAGCGGCGCTTGCTGACCCCGGGCGCAGCGTCAATCTTCTGCCCAAGCCGAAGTCGCCCGACACAACACCCGTGGTCGCGACAGGGAGTACAGGGATAGAGTCGACAAGCTCAGAAATAGCTCCGCTGCCCAGCCATCTCCTCTGTGAGTCATCACCCTCGCCTTCAGGACGTCCCCTGACATGTATAGCAAACAAAGGAAATCGGGCCAAGCTGGTTCTGCTCTTCCCAATGCTAGCAACCAGGCTATCGTCGGCGTATCTGCGCCCAGCCCGTTGCCTCAATCGCGACGACAGTCTCAGCAAGGTGGGCATCCGTTTGCGTCTGCAAAGACGTCGCACGGTGAAAGGAATGAGACGTATGACCCGTCAACCATAGCTGTCCAATCCCAAGCCGGTCTCCAGCCTATCAGCCCTATGAATGTCAACTCTCGAGGCGGCAACACTGCTGCCAACTCCCAGCAAGTGGGCGAGACGGACTATCGACAGGAGCCCAAGGGAGGCAATGGCTTTATCAAGTTTATTACTTGTGGTTGTTTCCGATAGTCGTGAGTGGCCCTGTGACTTTACCGTAATTTCTTACTGATTACAGTCAGGAATACCTCTCTTTCTTTCGCTCTCACTGTCACTGCATCCAAACACCATCAACGACACTCTCATGCTATCCCGTTCACGCCCCTTCAGTGCTATACAGCTTTGGCTCAAAAGAAATACTTTAATTGATTCTATAGCCCATTTTGTTCCAAATTATGTGTTTGATCTTTACCCGGAACTTGCATACCCATCATTTCGTCCTTACTCATATGGCCCGTCTCCTTTGTTTTCTCCAGTCTGTCTATCGCCCTCTTACGTTTGTGTTTCATTGGTACTTTTTTCACGATATATGCGGCGACTTTATTAGATCGGGCGAGAGGTGGACTTGCTATGGAAGCGCTGGTGCATCACGCTTTCTCTTGGTATCCGGTTCCCAGCATCCCATTCCTAGACGTGCAGTACATGAAGTAATGGACCGTATGGACATCTCTCTGCGAGCCACCGTCACGGGCTGAGTAATGACGAGCACGAGTTTGACGACGCGCGCGGATGCCCGATCGTCGCTGTGTTTTTGTGTTCGCCGATGCACCATGCAGCGACATCGCCACCCAGCATCCACATCTCGTTCCTTTCTTCCCTCCCACTTTCTCCAGCACCCCGACTCTAGCGACCCCTCCCATGCCCATCTTGCCCTCTTCCACTGCTCCATTCGGCTTCCTCGAACCCCTCCACGCCTACGTCCTCGCTCACTCTGAGCCCCTGACATGGTCCAACTGGTGGAGACTCGCTGTACTGCCCACCATCCCTCTATTCTTGCAGGCTGTGCTGCTGAGAAAGGAGGGCACGAGAAAAGATCGTCTGGCTCTCGCCGTAGTGGGGATAGCGCTGCTCTGGCATGCCTGCCTGAGATACCGCTTTGAACGTAAGCCGGTGATGATTTGTCCTCGATCATGCTAAACTTGTGTCAGAGCCATGGTTCAACGCTCTCAACAATGGCATCTCCATTGGCTGTATGACACTCACAGTCCGTTACCTGGAATTCGCCCTCATCAAGGGGAGACTCATCGACCAGTATTGGGAAGACAAGGGGCAGCACTGGCTTGTGTCGGCCTTTGATGTGTGTACGAATGCGAGGTGGATCGGGCTCGATCCTGTTGAGCCGAGATCTAACGGGATAGAGAAGGGTGGCAAGAGGCCCAAAGCAGACAAAGATGTCTCGGTTGGGACAGAGGTCAGGCCTGGACACAAGGCCATCTCACCAGCAAGAAATTATCCTCCATGGGTTGTAGTGCCTAATTCACCTCTCTCCAGAAGCCATGCCACCATTCGACATCTCACCATCGCCTTTCGAAATTATGTCATCTCTGACATACTCTTATCTCTACTGCGCTCTTTTGGCGCAGACTCTATCGGCTCTTCCACCCCAGTCCCTGGCGCCCTGCACCGTTTTTCCAGTGATAACACTTTCGTGCTATTCCCCAAGCTAGGGAATGGATTAGAGTCGCCGTGGTGGCTGACGGAGATGGCAGCTGTCATTGCAGTGGCGCTTTGTGTATGGCTGGGGCTGAGCATGGGGTACCATGCAATAGCAGGCGTCATGGTCGGCACAGGACTCCATGAAGTGGAAGCATGGGAGATCGACCTGTTTGATCACCCTCTCAAGGCGGATAGTCTTTTGGACTTCTGGGGCCATCGATGGCATCAGTTCTTCAGGGTGAGTATCCGTCCGTCGCCAGTATGGGGCGTGGGCTGATGATGGCTTAGCATTCCTTCACACTCGTCGCCACCCAAACCCTTCGCTTCCTCCATCTCCCGGTGACATCGACATATGTCCTAGGCTTGTCGTTCTTCTTCTCCGGCGCGATGCACGCCCTGGGCCAATTCACCATGGACCCGGTGCCGGCCTTGTTTCCCATATTTGTCCTCTTTCCAATCTCTGGACTGGGTTGCGCCCTTGAGGTCCAATTCAAGCGTTGGACTGGAAAAAAGGTCGGAGGATTCTGGGGTAGACTATGGACGTGGAGTGTCATGCTGATCACGGGCAGGTGGGCGGCCATTGCGTGGTTTGAAAGCGGCGTCGGGGGAAGTTACCTTTGCCCCGCATGGGCTGGGGATCTTCTCAAACCCTTCATTCTGGAATGGATATTAAATAGAAAGTAGACCATCATTTCCTGTGCATATATACATAGATTGAAGACCATGTACAAACATCCAGCAGCAAGCTGAAGGTCAGAATTCTGATTGTTGTTGAAGGTTGAATGATGATGATTTCCTTACGTAACGACGATTCCTCCACTTTTGAGATTTTGAAGATTGGTTTTGCTGTGATTGTTCATGGTCACTCGCTCAAGTATCCCAGACTATCAATATGGTGCGTGTCTTTGTTCCAGCTGACGGCGCCTGCTGACTTGGATCTACAGCCTCCTAGAACTAAAACCCAGACCTCGGGCCTGGGCAAGGCGCTCAAGAACCGCAAAGCTAAGGAAGCCGTGGCGCCCAAAGAATCCCAACTGGTGAGCCATCGATGCAACGGCCTAACCCCAATCCCAAGCTTACACAGATCCAGTACACTCTCGATGACAGCAACCCTCTCGCCTCAGTCACCCATGAACGAGACCTCGATGAATTCCTCGCCAATGCTGCTCTTGCCGACCAAGATTTCACCACGGAGCGTAGTAAGATGAGGATCATTTCTGCTCCCGGTATGCCTGTCCCCGAAGGAAACCCATTCCTGCTGTCGGCTGCT